AGGGTATTTATAAAAAGAGTCTAAAAACATTGTTTCTTTGCCTCCTGGAAAACTACCAGTGGAGTCTGTTTCTTTACTCATGCACTTCTCAATGAATATTTATTCAACACCAACTCCGTGTTAATGTCAGTTTGATTTACACATAAACATGCAGAAACTACGATGTTTCAGGCATTATTGGAATCTTTTAATCTTTTTGTTGGAGTCAAGGCGATTCAGCTTGTGTCTAAGGATAGTTACAAATGAAGAACAAGCAGCAGAGTTGTACGTGTGCTCAAGGTCACATGCTATTGTTCCTTCTTAAGGCGTGTAAAATCCTTGTATTGGAAACAGGTTTCAGGTACAATAAACAATGTGCTCCCTTATCTCAGATGCACTAAGGCGGTTCAGCGAGTTGTTTACCACTCAGGCATTCCTTATTCAGCAGTGTTCATACAGTAATGATACCTTTAAATTCCCTAATGCTCTACCCTCCCAAAAGGTAATCAGAAATTGAAACTGTGCACTGCTTACATGAATTCATTTGTGTGGAGAACAAAGCCATTTTTATATACGCCTGCAATGTCCATTTGACTGGAAGCCAGAACATTTTACACAAGCAGCAGGATCCATCCCCTGAAACCTGAAATTGATTCAGGTTTTCTCTGATAGGAGGGGAGGAAAACGAAAATGAAAAGGCACGTGATTATAATTGCAGTTGGAAGCAGTCCCAATTACAAGAGCAGTTCTGTAAAAATTATTCTTTTGGCTTCACCTTAAATTATCGTGATGGAACAGTATTGTTTAGGAGGAGCAAAGAAAAGCAGGGAAAGGAAAGCTGGAAGTTTTTATTCATTCGTTCAACAAATATTGAGCACCCACAACATGGAAAGCACCAACCAAGAAGGACCTGTGGAAACATGAAGATTATTCAGACAAGAGGTCAGCCCTCAAGACAATACAATACAGCAAGCAAGTTAACAGGCATGTGCGTGCACACACACACACACACACACACACACACACGCCTGTAATATCCTCGCTAATCAAAGTCACTAGTGGAACTTTTGCTACCTAAACTCAGGGGCCAAACAGATTCTGATACATTTTAGAATAAATCCATCTCTATCCCTATTTTCTTTCTTTCTTTTTTTTTTTTGAAACAGAGTCTCACTTTGTTGCCCAGGCTAGAGTGAGTGCTGTGGCATCAGCCTACCTCACAGCAACCTCAACTCCTAGGCTCAAGCAATCCTCCTGCCGAGTAGCTGGGACTACAGGCATGCACCACCATGCCCGGCTAATTTTTTTTTTCTATATGTATGAGTTGGCCAATTAATTTCTTTCTATTTATAGTAGAGACAGGGTCTTGCTCTTGCTCAGGCTGGTTTTGAACTCCTGACCTCAAGCGATCTGCCCGCCTCCGCCTCCCAGAGTGCTAGGGTTCTATCCCAACTTTCATTATTTGCTTTCCAAAACTCAAGGACCTCCAGCCTTCAGTGCCTAGACTCATGGCCCAGTCAGTCTCCAAACTCAGGAACCTGATTGCTGTGGCTAGGTGGCCCCAAATACCATGAGACTTAGAGGAGTGTGAGATACCTTCCGATAGGATGCAATTTCATGGAGAACATATTTTAACTGAGCCTTGAGCGATGGGTAGAATGTTTTATCTCTAATCTCAGTGCCATCTGGCAATCCTTTGGCCTCATCTACCTCCTTGCCAAATCCCCCCTTCTAAGCCTTTCACCACTCTTTCAAGTCCCCTACCTCTATCTGCCCCCATTCACCCTCTTACTTGATAGAGAAAATAGGAACTGACAGCTGTGACCACATTCCTCCTCCCCAGTAAAAACCACCTGACCTTTCCACATTTCCTTCATCATCCATCCTTATCTCATTCCCATCTGTCTCAAAGGAAAGCATGTTAGAGTTCTCCAGAGAAACAGAATCAATAGAAGATATCTATATTCTTCATATATATATGCACAAATATATGTATATATGTTACATAAATATGTGTATATATACATATATATTTGTGTATGTATGTTTGTATGTGTACATATTATATATATTAAGGGAACTAACATCTCTATTGATTATGGGAATTAGCTCACACAGTTATGGAAGCTGAGAAGTCACATGATCTGCTGTCTGCAAGTTGGAGAACCAAGTGTAGTTCAGTCTGAGTCTGAAGTCCCGAGAACCCAAGGAGCTGATGAGGTAACCCCCAGTCAGAGGATAAAGGCCTGAGAATCTGCGGTGGGGTGCCACTGATATAAGTTCTGGAATTCAAAGACCCAGGAACCAGGAGAGCTGATGTGCAAGAGCAGGAGAAGAGGGATGTCCCAGCTCAAGAAGAGAGAGAGGAAATTCACTCTTCCTCTGCCTTTTTGTTCTATTTGTGCTCTCAAAGGGTTGGATAATGCTCACCCACATTGGGGAGGGTGGATCTTCTTGGCTTAATTTAATGATTCATTTAATCTCTTCCAGAAATGCCCTCACAGACACACCCACAAATCGTGCTTTATCAGCTTGCTGGGCATCCCTTAGCCTAGTCAAGTTGAAAAAAATTAACCATAATAGAAATAATCCCCTTGGAGGATTATTTCTTAATTTGGTCTTTGAATTCCATCCTCTCCCAAGTCTATCATCAGTTGATGAACATTTAGATTGTTTTCAGGTTTGGGAAATTTATAAATAAGCTGCTAGAAACATTTGCGTACAGTTCTTTGTTTGGACATATGTTTTTATTTCTCTTGTAAATACCAAGAAATAGGATTACTGGGTTACATAGCAAATGTATGTTTAACTATAAAAAACTGCTAAACTGTTTTCTAATTTTGTTGTACCATTTTGTCTTCCTATCAGCAATCAGCAATGTATGACGACTCAAGTTACTCCACATCCTCATCAGCACTTGGTATTATCAACATTTTGTTTATTTGTTTGTTTGTTGTTTTGCCATTCTAATAGGTGTTTAGTGATATTTTACAGTGATTTTAATTTGCATTTCCCTAATAACTAATGATGTTGAGCATCTTTTTATGGGCTTATTCGCCATCCATGTCTCTTCTTTGATGAAGGGGTCTTTTGTCCATTTAAAAAGTTGGGTCGTTTGTATTCTTATTGCTTTGTGGGAGTGCTTCTGTATATAAGTCCTTTATCGTGTACATTTTTGGCAAATATTTTCTTCTAATCTGTAGCATGTCTTTTAATTATGTATTTATTTATTGAGTCAGAGTCTCACTCTGCTGCCCGGCTGGAGTGCCATGGCATCAGCCTAGCTCACAACAACCTCAAACTCCTGGGCTCAAGCAATCCTTCTGCCTCAGTCTCCCGAGTAGCTGGGACTACAGGCATGTGCCCGGCTAATTTTATTTTTTTTTTTTAGTTGGCCAATGAATTTCTTTCTATTTTTAGTAGAGCCTCTTGCTCAGGCTGATCTTGAACTCCTGAGCTCAAATGATCCACCCGCCTCTGCCTCCCAGAGTGCTGGGATTACAGGCGTGAGCCACCACGCCCAGCTTGTAGCTTGTCTTTTAGTGACATACAAAGAATAGAGTCTTAAATGTTGATGAAGTCCAATTTATCACATTTTTCTTTTATGGGTCATGCTTTTTGTGTCCTATCTAAGAAATTTTGATCTAACTAGTGATTTCTTTTAATTAAACCAAACTTATTCAATTCAAAGCATTTTTAATTTTTTCTGAGACTGTAATTCCTTCTTTCTTAGGATTAAAGTATCTTTCTTAAAATAATAAAATGATAAGAATGATAAGAATAGCTAGAAGTCTGCACGTGCATGTATGTGTGTGCATATGTGCCTAGTAAAACAGAGTTGACTGATGATTCTACGTTGGTGTCATGGGTTCCCCAGAAAGCATATAGAAGTTAGCATGTGACAAAGACTCTCTCCTTGACTAAACTTTAGTCAGTCTCCTCTGAGCCCTCTTCTTAATAGGCTTTGACCTGGGGCTTCAGTGTGCTTCCTTGTATCTCCCAGTTTTACCAAGAATCCTGGTAAATTGGTTTAGAAAGAACCCACCGCTCTCACTATCTGATCACATTTGATATCTGATAAAATTTCTCATCCCCCACTGTCTTCCGGGTGATATCTGATGACCTTTGTCGATCTTCAGCAAGAATCGTGTCAAGGCTGTCTAGCCAGAGTTCCCCCTCAGTCCTGATTTTTCATCTTGGTCATTTTCCATCCGCTGAATCCCCACCCTGCTCCTTGACTACGATTCCCTGCTTGTCCTTGTTGTATTCAGAACGGAGCCCAGTTCTATAATGAGGTCTCTTTCACCCTATGACAATATTCTCTGGATAAAATTTGTTTTTACCATTTTAACTACCGTCCGGCTCTGGTTTTTCTTTGACACATGCAGGGATTTATTTTATTGGGAAGTGCTACCAGTAATGACATCTCTAAGGGTGTGCGTGAAACAGGCTGGAAGGGGGAGGATGAATCAGGATTCGGTTGCAACAGAGGCCTTAGTTGATCTTTGGGGAGCAGGGACCTGGAGCTGGGAGGGCCCTTCAGAGTTGCCTTGAATAGAGGGGAGGGTCTGGACCTTTGCACCCCACCACCCTTCCCCCCATCAAGTGAGAAAATGTGAGAAACTAATTTAAAATATAGTGTAGATATAGGAGAGATTAAGTATTTGAACTATAGTGGCTTTGGTGAACTCGAGGCAATCCTTCTATAGGCACAAATAAAACAAAGCTAATTAGTCATTTGTGAACGCCTGTCCATGGTTCTGTGACCTCTGCCACACCGCCACCAGGTATCCTGGCAACAGGCTCTGAGCTTGCTGCCTGGTTTGCATCATTCCCCCCTGGGGTAAGAGCATCACTTTTACCTGTTCTATTGTCTCTTACCCTCATGAAAACAAGGAACAACCATTTTGTCTGAGTGCGAATGGCTGCCTTTCTCAGCTGGCAGAGCTGGGTGATAAAGAAACTGCCCAGCAGAAAGACCCTCGTGCCCAGTGGTGAATCCAAGGACAGGCAGACAAGGCTCAGCATGAGAACTTTAATAAAGAATAACTCTTGAGGGCATGCGGGAAACGATGCGTCGCTGGTTTTAATTTACATGCTTGGCCATCGCTCATGCATCGTTGAACCCCCTGCCCCACTTCTCAAATTGTCAGTCGAAGCTGAAAAGGCAGACAAAAGCTCCAAGTTGCCCACCGCCCAGCTCTGCACAAACAAATCCAAGGGTCCAGTAGAGGAAGAGGGGGTTTTCCTTCCCCAGAGTGGTCCTCCTGGCCTCTTCTAGTCCTCATAGCAAAAAAAAAAAAAAAAAAAAAAAAGAAGTGCTCCTGGGAGTTGGAGCTGTCAGGAGAGATAAGGTCTTTCTGCTATCACATTTTTAATCTGACCTTCTTGAAATGAGGAAACCAGCCTAGGATAACTCGACTAGCTTGTGGCAAAGCCAGAATTAGAGACCGATCTCTGAAACCACGAGCCACTCGATTCACCTAGATCTTCCCCCACCTCTCACGTCCGCTTTGTCACTAAGTTATGTTGTGTTGACTTAAAAACAGCTCTCAGACTTATCTGCTCTTGCCCAGTTACCATTGCTACCATTGCTTAAGTTCTGCCTAACATCTTGGGCAGCTGCAGCAGCTTCATACCTGGTCTCTCTGCCTTGGTTTCTCCACGGCCAGCCCATTCTGCACATAGCAGCCAGCGAGATGATTTTAGAGCACAAATCTGACAAACTCATTACCCCACCCACACCTTTACGTAGCTCCCATTCATTCCTCTTCATGATAAAGTCCAAACTCCTTAGCCGTAGGTACAAATGCCATCTTTGGCACGACAGCAGTTATGACTGCAAACACAAGGAATAGTGGCTTTAACCATAAGGATATTTAGAATTTTCCTGCTTAAAAGTGCTAACGTAGGCAGGCAGTGTCACCATTGGTTTGGTGACGCTGTGAAGCTGTGGAAGACCCCATCGTTCTCTGTCCTCTCTCTTTCATCCTCGGGCCTCGCTGTGGTCACAAGATGGCTGTTGTACTCTCAGGCACCAGGCTCCTCAGCAGGACGAGCAGTTCCACGATCACAAAGGAGCCGGGAGGGAACGAAGAAGGAAATGGGAAACTTCTCCTGCTACAGAATTCTTTTTTTTTTTTTTTCAAATTAAGGATGAAATTCTTTCCTTGATGGCTTTTTTTTTTTTTTGTGGTGTCTGCACGTCAGCATGGGAACACACCGACGTGTCCGTTAACAAGGACCAAGGAGGCACATTTGTCAGCGCTTGGGGCCGCGGGTATGCGCGTGTGGAAGACCCAGTCACTGTGCTTATGAACTACAACAGGATCTCTTTGGTGCCTTCTGCCACGCTTCTGACGTTTCTTTGGCCAGAACTGAACACTGACCGCATCCAGCCCTAGGCCAAGCATTGTCATCAAGGTAAACATGATTGCAGGGATGGGTGCTATGATTTGAATGTGGACCTCAAAGTTCTAGTGTCGGAAACTTGGTCCTCTCTGTGGCAGTGTGGGAGGTGGGGCCTAGTGGAGGGTGTTTGGGTCATGGGCATGCCCTTCTGAATGGATCAGTGTCATTATTTTGGGAGTGGGTTTATTATCATGGGAGTGGGTTCCTTATAAAAGGATGAGTTCAGCCCCGTTTTCTCACTTGCTTTCTCACCCTCTCTTACTCTTAAGCCTTCTGACATAGCAAGAAGGCCCTCGGAAGAAGCCAGCCCCATGTGGCCGGGCGCAGTGGCTCACGCCTGTAATCCTAGCACTCTGGGAGGCCAAGGTGAGCAGATCGCTCAAGATCAAGAGTTTGAAACCAGCCTGAGCAAGAATGAGACCCTGTCACTACCAAAAATAGAAAGAAATTAATTGGCCAACTAAAAATATATAGAAAAAATTAACCGGGCATGGTGGCACATGCCTGTAGTCCCAGCTACTCGGGAGGCTGAGGCAGGAGGAACACTTGAGCCCAGGAGTGTGAGGTTGCTGTGAGCTGAGCTGATGCCATGGCACTCTAGCCGGGGCAACAAGAGTGAGACTCTGTCTCCAAAAAGAAAAAAAAAAAGAAAAAGAAGCTAGACCCCTTAATCTTGGACTTCCCAGCCTCCAGAATGGTGGGAAATAAATTTCTTTTTAAAATAAATTACCCAGTCTCTGGTATTCTGTTATAGCAGTGCAAAATGAACTAAGACAATGGGCTTAGGCCAATTCGATTTATGTTCTGGCCCTGGGCACTCCACTACCTGAACAAAATCAAAGTTCTATTAGCAACAAGGAGACACGGCTAATGCAATGGCAAACTACAGTGTGTGGCCCAACCTATGAGCTCTCCTGAGCTGGCCTCTACCTACCCCAATAGCTGCATTTTCTGCCACTGTTCTTTAAAACAGCCTTGTACTCTTGCCACAGGAAGCCACTCACTTTCCCCAGAGCAGTCCTCATGACTTCATACATGCTGTTCCCCCTCCTGGAATATCCTTCCCTTCTTGATAATCTTATAAACTTTTGTTCTTTTTGGAGAATTCGACTGAAGTGTTACCAGCATTGTAAAACCCTTCCCGATCCTCCAAATCAGGGTCAGTTACCCTTGACTTTTCTTGGTCTAAACAGTGCCTGATGCACTGTAGTCGCACAATAAGTATTTGTTAAATGAATCTTTTCATCATTCACGTGTACTGCTATCTTAAGTCCTCAGATAATGGCCACTGCTTACACTTCAACTAAAATCATTATTTTCATCATAGAGCCAGTTAGCAGATTCTTTTGTATAAAAAAAAATTTCTGAATAGTGGGATTGAGTTGCTTATGAATTTAAGTGAGAAGTTGTCTGATATAGAATATGATTTTGAGGGAGCTAAAATATCCTCTTGGATGTGTAGTTTCATAATATTTTATCCTATGGTATCTATGATAAATAATTCTCTTGCACTCCTGTGTGTCTTGCATGCATTTTCTTCCTGTCAAACAATGTATTCTGTGCATATTATATAGAGATAAGGGCAATGAAAAATGCTAATTTGTATTGGGGCCAAAACTAGTTGGGGGGACATGTTCAGAGCATTTATTCAAATACAAGCAGTGAGATAGAAGGGGAAAGAATGAGAGAATATGAAGTAGGAAATGATAAGATGTTAGAATGCAAATTATCCCAGAGTGTGGGAAGCAAGTTCAAAATAATTTCAGGTGGTACAGGTAGTTAGCCTTAAATGACTTTAATGTACAAGAAAATTACTCTCTTTTTGGTTCTCTCTTAATTCTTGTAAATGGTCCATTTCCACAAGTCACCAGGCTCAGGAAGTGGCCTTCCACCTTCTCTGGGGCTCTGTGCTCTGTGCTCTGACCTATCTGACAATGGCTTAGAGCCGTTTAAGGGAAGCAGTTGGCACAAATCTTTGGCATTCTGCCGCCTGACAGGTACTGCTAGTGATGAATAGAAGCAGAAAACGTCTACGTGGCCACAGAATGGGACTGGGAGGTGGAAGTTGCTCCTATCAATAGAAGGAGACTTTGGTGGGTGGCGGGAGTGGTCCGTAGGTTCAAACAGAAGAAAACTGGGACTGTAAGTAAAAGGAGGAAGTAGAGGTGGAAGGGAGGAAAGGTGAGAGGAAGGAGGGAAGACACTGAAACCTCTAGGGTTAAATATGAGAAGTTGTTCAGGCTGTTCCTTCCAGGTAGCTCCACCTCATTTCTTTGAAATATGACTCAGGTCCTTACCCAGGGGCATGTCTGTCATTGTTCTGACAAAACATTAAAATCTTTACTCTGTACTCAGTTGGGTGGCTTCTCCATTCTTTCTCTCCAGCCATGTCTTCATAGGCCAAGAATCACAGATGCGGCAGGTACCTGCCTCACACACCCCCGACAGGAGAAAGCTGGTTGTCTTGTGATTGCAGTCTTTCCCCAGCCCCACCCCGTGGGCTGTTCCCACTGGCGTTTGGCTGCTGTCGTCTTCGTGGGCTTTCGTTCCCTTACAACTGCTGCAGCGAAGGGTAGGATCTGGGGACTTCCTGGGCAAAAGAGGAGGACTGGGTTTTGGAGTCTCACTATGTTAACCAGGCCTCGATCTCCTGGGCTCATGTGATCCTCCCACCTCAGCCTCCCAAGTGGCTGGGCCCACCCGTGTGTGATACTTAGACTGGCTTTAAATGTCCTTTAACCCTTTGCACTCGGATGTCGAGTGTGACTTGACACGGTTAGCAAAAATTATAGAGATTAAAATTACTCTTTGAATATATCAATAATTTGAAATATAAAAAAAAATCCAAATAAACAAGTTTGTATAAAAAGAAACTCCAGTTTTTTATTCTACTGCTGCGCTTTGTAAAATCTGGGGTATTTAAAAAATTAAATCCTGAGTAGAATAAAGGAATCGAGAAAAAAGCAAGCGAGTGCAAAGGGTTAAATTCAGAAAAATTACCCACTTTTTAAAAAATCTCAGATCAGAGCTTCTCGAGGGCGCCCAGCGAGGACAGCCAGAGCAGAGTCGCACAGGAAGATTGCTGAACTCTCAGTCCTGCAGTCAGCCTCCCTGGGTGCGGCTGTGTCACTCCTGATTTCTCAGGGCACCCAGGGGACTCTGCCCTCTCTCTGCACCACTATCAAAATCTGCCCTCCAGAATGCAGCTGACGGACCCATTCACACAGGGGCTATTGCTAACTCAGAGACTTTTCTTTAAAGATCTTAAAAAAAAAGGGATTAATGACTGTTTTTGCTGTCTAGGGCCTGCAGTGCCAAGGAGACAGGTGTTTGGGGGGGATTGGAAAGCCTCAGAATTTCTGGTATTGTATTAATACCTCATGGGATTCAATCTGCCAGTACAAGTGGCTTTTTACCATGCTTGGAAAAGGTGGCTTGATATTCAAAATAATTGTAGAGTCCTCTCTCTTCTGAGATAAACTCTGTAAGAGGCACAATCAAGCTAACTTTTATTGAGCACTTACTATATACCAGCTATTTTGCCAAGCACTTTACATTATTTTCTTTAACTGTCAAGTTTAGGTAGAATATCATTTAGCATGGTCTTGAGTAATCTGAACAGAACAGGTATAACTGCAAAGGGCACGTGTTAGCTCACAAAACCAGGAAGTTCAGGCACAGGGCCAGCTTCGTACACGACTGGACTCAGACAGTGTTGTCGGGACCTCGACTCCTTGCGTCTTCTGGCTTGGCTCCGCCTTCCTTTGTGCGTTGGCTTTGTTCTCAGCTTCCCTGTGGGGGCAGATGGCTGGAGCTGCTCCAGCCAGACAGTCTTCCAATGTCTCTATTGCAGCAGGAAATAGAGAGCGGCACTCAGCCTCTCCTGAGTGCTCAGAGGCACTCTAATTACACAGGTCACATGCTCATTTCTGAACTGGCCCGATGGTCAGGGGCTTTGGAGAGTCTGTTCTGGGTCAAGTTCTGCATTTCTGGAGTGAGGTGGAGGAGCCCCAATCAGACCAGAAGGATAGAGAGTCGGGGAAGAGGATCCCCAAAGTGGAAATTGGGGGAATAGACACTGGGTAGGCAACAAGAAACTGTCATTGTTCCAGCTTGCTAGATGAAGAAACCAAGGCTGGGGAGTATAAATAACTTGCCCTAGGTCATTGCCAATAATGGACAGAGCAGGGACTTGAATGTTCTCAGTTATATTTAATAAGCCATTTTTATTGCTCCATTTACTCAGAGGAAATGTATTTGTTCTTTTAATAAATAAAAACAAGAATATATAACTAGAGTAAATGAATTAATGTCAAATTTTCCGTAATGCAAATCCTCCCTAACTTGTCCTGCAAATTTATATCAGTGGACAGGCTAGAAGAAGCCCTCTAAGGAGATAGAACTCTCGTCCCAATATGTCATTAGCCAAGTTCTGTTGTCAAGAGAAAGAAAGGTAATGTGACTATTTGTTAAAGATATAGGACATGCTTTTTACTTCATCCACAGCATAGTTTGAACTAAAAACTCAGCTGGCTTCAAGAAAAACAACATGTTAAGTGAATTCTTGGTATAATTTTTACTTTCGTAGTCACTTTGCATAGGCCTGGCTGCCTCCTGGGAGGTTTTGAAACAGTCCTCCAGGATATATGGTCATTGTTAATTTTGTTCTGAACTCTCAACCACAAGCAACCATAAAGTCAGTTATTAATGACCTTATCATATTGACACAGACTAACCAAGATAGAGAAAGCTATGGTGTTAGCAGAGTGAGCAGCGTCCCAGCTCCGGCATTACTTAACGCCGTAACCTCAGACAAAGGATCTAAATTTCCTGATGCTCGCTCTCTTCATCTATAAAATCTTTAAAATGAAGATAATAACAACACTTTGTAAGTTTTTGTGAAATTCAGATGATATATTTTAAAACTCTTGCCCAGGCGCGGTGGCATAAACTTCTAGGCAAAATCACCAGCTACCAAAATTCTGTATGATCCAACTTTTTCAACACATTTG